ATGCAGAAAAAGAGCTGTCAAAATGTGTGTGTGTGTGTGTGTGTGTGTGTGTGTGTGTGTCCCAGCCTTCATTCCTGCTCACTTCACACTGGATGCACAAAAAGAGCAGTCAAAATGTGTTTTGTGTGCGTATACGATTTTTACCAGCAACAAAAGGGGAATTGTTAGCAGGGTCTTTTATTTGCAGCTGTTAAGTGCTCGGTTACAGCAATTACGAGATCTCAGGAGGAATGGGGGAACCTGGGGAGGTGGCGTGGGGGAGGGAGGGGAATCTCCCCAGCTGGGCTTTGACCGATTCTGCAGGGGCTGGTTGAGCCAACCCCAATATTAACCCCCCTCTTTAAACCCAGGTTCCCTTTTGCCTCTCCCTACCTAGGCTACCCGGTCCCACCGTGCCAGGCTTCCTCCTGAGCAAACACACCTCCGATCCCAGCCCCAGGATAGCTGCCGCCCACAACAGCTGCAACTGGGGCTGGGATCGGAGATCACAAGGTAGGAAAGGGATAGATTAAAAAAATAAGAGGGGATCATATCCCCCACCCCCAACCCCATCCAACAGAAGGAGACGAGAGAAGAGTAGCGGAGAGAAGGAAATCTCCATCCCCCCGCCTCTTCCAAATTATACACATAGACACTGCCCTCCCCATCCTGCAGCCCCAATTCCAGCCGCACCAATTTAAGCTCCCAGATCTCTCTCTTTTTTTCTCCACTCATCCCCCCCCTCAACCAAACAAACGAGCAAAGGAAATACAAGAAAAGCAGCTTTTTAAAAAATAAATAAATAAATAAATAAATAAATAAATGAAATCCAAGGCATGGGAGGAAAATCCCCCTTTCCCCTAATTCCCACTCCCCCCCCATCCCGCCTCCTGATCCATTTGGGGTGGATTTCTTTATTTGCAATAAATCCTGGGTCCCCCCTTTTTTTTAAAGGAAGGAAAATGACAGATCTTCTCCCCCCTCCCGCCGCCCCCCCTCGCCAAAAGGAGACCAGAGAAAAGCAATCAGATTGAAAGGAAGGGAGATATGATCGTGTTTGGAAGAGTCTCCTCCTCGCCGCGATGCCACCGCTGGAAAGCCCCCCCCTGGCCTGAGGCTGCTGTATAGCTGTTGCAAAAACGTGCAGGAGGGGAGGGAAGCTTGCCCCTCGTCGGGCGCTGCGAGCAAGCCGAGCGGAGGGAGGGAAACCACTGCCCTCTAAGGCCACATCGGGAATGACACTTCAGAGAAATAAAAACTTTTTTTTTTAACGGCGTCCTTTTCAAAATTGATGATTCGGCGTCTTTTCTTTCTTTTGGAAAATTGGGACTTTTTAAACATGCCGTGGGACACGGGACAAATTTTGAAAAATCGTGACTGTCCCGCCAAAAGTGGGACGTCTGGTCACATTATTGAGTGCTCCTGGGGGCTGGGGGAGCACAAAAAGAAGCAAAAAATGGCCCATTTTTCCTCATTTTTCCTCTCTCCAGCCCCCAGCAGCACTCTGGAAGCCTCCTAAAGACTATGCATGGCCATTTTTGCAAAAGGGGTGGGGTTTCCAGAGGCTGTATGCAGTGTATGATGTACCCATATTTTCATCCTCTTTTTTGAGGGGGAAAAGGTGTTTCTTATACTTTGAAAAATACGGTAGTTGGTCTCACAAAGGCCGGCAATGATTTGGGTTTTTTAATCTTGTTTAGCAAATGTAATTAATCCTAGATGCTGACTTCCTTGGGGTTTTATTCATGTCTTGAATGGATTACCAAATATGCATTTCTAAAAGTTGCCCCTTTGTTTCTCCTGGGGGCAGAGAGCTGAGGCTTTGAGAATCTTTCTTTATAAACATGTTTCCCCCCTAGGGAAAATATAATATTCTGCCTTTTTAATATTTCCTAACATATTTCATTCTTCTAAAGGGG